CACAATAGTTTATTCTAGTAACTAACCATCCTGGTTGCTGCGATATTACATTAAAAATACTAGAAAAGAAATAAAACAGCAAGCGATATTGAATAAAACAAGTGAGTTGGGACACATGGAACCGTTAACGTGAGAGCGACGCGTTAAAAGCTAACGATGCTAATGACGTTCGAACGGATTCGTCTGTTACAGAAGTCTTGTAACCTCTGGCAACCAGGCATAGATATTATATCCACGCCTACGCCAGTGTGGAACATTTTTTTAAAAGCAAAACGATAATACTATAAAGACGAAAACAAAAGGAAACCTGCGACATGTAACCGCCAAACAACTCGTTCGGAATTGTGAGTGGAGGCTTACGCTGGCATTATGGCAAGGTTAGTGTCGAAGTGACGAAGTGACGGAGCATTCTCCTTTTCGCATACCTTTTTCCAAGGACCACATGCGTAAACAGTCTGTGCTGTGATACCAGAATACTGGGAGCGACTGCGTCCGTTTGTTCCTAATTTCACTGAAGTAAGTACCTTTCCTTCTGAAATTGCTCCGAGAACCTGTTTACCCGGGGAATCCCCGAGACTTCGATTACCGTATCACCTTACTGTGTCTGCTTCGAAATATGAAATTCAATTTTGTAATTTTTCACTTTTTTATGATTATTTAAGTATTGTAAAATTGGTTAACTGTTGGTCAACCATATTAACCGTTAAATGAAATTCTGCCTCACGCTTAGGAGATACGCGAGGTTTTGCGTCTTCAATATTCATCAACAGGTAAAAGCAAACTAGTCATTCGCATCTTCTGTCTGACGTTCAAGGCGAGCGTTTGCAAACGTTCGCGAACCGAAAATGCCTTTGCTATATTGATATTATTTGCCTATTTTCTGGCATCCATCAAAGTTGTAGTGCATGAGAGCAGTGACAATAACAGCAAACTTAAGGGGTTTAGGGTATAATGCGCGTCTGATTACTGCCTAACGAGAAAAGTAAAATGGGTCGTTTTATTACGGTTCACAAACTGAAGGTAAGAAGATAGGCCTTGCACAAACCCACACAGCGTACCGCGTGGAGAACGAGTGTGGCTGCCTCCCCCACCTACCGGCTCTGTGGCTAAAATACCAATAAACATTCACAGTTCCTAGGAAGAGCTGGTTCCTGGGTGGATCACCAGTGCATTAGCCATTAGCCGCTAGATGCATACAAGTTTTCATTCTACGACAAAGAGCTTCAAACAACTTAAGCACCGAACAATAGACAACACCAAAATGGTCTTACTGATGAATGGGCCTCTTGATTTATGAGTACTTTTTATTGTCTGTAGACGAACAAAAAACTGTGGAATTGTTTTATTTTTCTCTTGATATATGGTTTTTTTTTTGCAGCATGTATACATCATCTAGAACAAAAACGCATCAGTCGATTATTTATCGGTGAAGAGTGAAAGTCGAAGCAGTTGCAGAGAGTATTATATTATTATATATCAGATTTCCTTGTTTAGTATAGATACAAGAGTAGAGGCCACTAATATGCCGAGAAAGTGGAATAAACCGTTCCCCATATTCATATCAAATTAGGAAAGCAAGCGCAGTGGGACCTCCATTATATATATATATATATATATATATTATATATATATATATATATATATTATATTATATATATATATATTTACTTATTTGCTTGTTTGTTTATTTCATTAACACACGAGTGCCGCGCACCCACCCACACATGACACGCACTCTCGCACTTACGCACACAGAATGCAGGGTGCAGGTTGCAGAATCTTAATTAAGAGCTAGACTACTGATTTCCTGACATTACTGGCTACATTCAATGAATTCGTAAAATCAAACGCATGTAGGCCTAGTTAAAAAATAACGAGTAACCGAAAAGACGAAAGGACAATCATGATGATACTCTAACCGTCCAACGAAAGATAAAACCCGCACCTATCAATCTTCTAGTGCAAATAGCTGGCATTATTGTCTCGCCCAACATTCGCCTTGTGACTTGTGAATTAGAGGCTTGACACCGTACATGCAGCTCCCACCTCTGTTGCAGAATTTGGCGAGTGTTGCATGCAATTGTCACAGTTCTCGGACACCAGATTCTCTCCTCGTTGCTCTCTCTTGTCCGTCAACTTCACTTTCCCTCATTTTTAGGGAATCGACTCCTACTGACGCCTCGCGAACTTGATGCGTTGTTCTTCTTGTTCTCATCCTCATCATCCTTCTAGTTTTTTTCTTCTACTCCTACTCCTTCTTCTTCTTCTTCTTCTTCTTCTGCTTCTCCTCCTTCTCCTTTTTCTTCTTTCTTCTCCTTTTTTCTTCTTCTTCTTCTCCTTCTCCTCTTCCTTCTTCCTTCCTTCTCCTTCTCCTTCTCCTTCTCCTTCTCCTTCTCCCTTCTCCCCCCGACCATCCCTCCGCCCTAGCTCAATCTTGGCCTTGTCTCGAACTCGCAAAAAGTCGACTGGAAAAAATCGAGGTCAAGGCCACACCAGGTCA